ATGTGGCCAGTATGGGAATAGTTCCCATGATGTGATTTATCGTCGTACGGACGACTTTTGTTGTTTGAAACTCTTATTCAATTGTAATGTTATTCTCAATTTCTGGTGTACACATTCAGTTGTTTATGAGAATAACAATTATCCTTGGTTTTGGAATAAACATAGGGTTTATTCATTAAGATGTGTTGTCACGTATGGGTTAACATTAAAAGAATAAGATGCATTGTGATACATGGAAGATATTACTCGCTCTTAGAAGACGTGTTGCCATGATTCATGTGTCTTGTTTCTTTTCTTAAGCATATGATTTTCGTGGATTTGGTTGGGTAATCTGTATGATGAAAATGTTGGGATCAAGTGGGAGAATGTTATATTTATAATGTGATCCCACATTTAGGGATATAGTTTTTGAAATAAAAACTTATCCATTGGGTTTGACCCACGTTTTCTCTTTTAAGTGACGGTTATCCACATACGGTTTTTCCACGCTTCGTACCCCTTCGGTGACAACCGCCCTCTTCAGTAACCGCCTTGATGGGAAGCGGTTTATAAAGATGAACGTTCATTCCATAAGGGTAGACACAAGGTCTACCGCAAGCTCTCTCATTCGGTAATACACTATCAGTACGCGAGGGGATTGGGTTAGTAGAGTGCGCCCGTAATCGCTATCAAATTAACGTCGAACTACCGTGGATTTCTGACGAACGTAAAGTTGAACAATAGCTAGAGGTCAGTTTATTTTCGATCCTGTTTTCCGCATTTAATTCTAATTGTGCTTGAATTTTGTTCTTCTATGCATGATTAGAATCCTTCAGTTTTAGTCTCACAGTGCAGTCTATTGAGTTTCAAAAGTGAAGAGGCTTTCTTCTCTAGCATTAAATAGATTGGAGACAGTTAATAAAGGAAACTCACTTTGTTACGCAATTTGTCAAAACTAGTCGTCCGGTTCAACCATCGAGTAGTGGATCTGTCTGAGTTCCAGTTCGGTTCACGGCACTAAATTGTACTTCAAATCAAACCACATTTGAACGAGTGAACCAATCAAAGCAAGCTTTTCCACCAGGTAGAAAGCTGGTTCAACCCAGTTCTGCTGGAGAAGGATTCAAAAAATCGTGCAGGTGGTGTTCTTAACCCAGGCCTCAACCTTGGGAACGCAATACAGAAAACAGAGACGTGCAATTTTTCGATGATATGATGCTTAATTTAATGATACTTGATTTTATGTACTTAACATAATCAGTAAAAAAATGCAAAACAAGATGATGCAAGATGAGATTCAGACAAAGCATTGGCACAAGGGGGCATACAAGAAGCCACGCCGTGTTAGCTTGGATCTTGGAGATCAGACTGATGCGGAGCAACATAGCGGTTAAGCCAGTTGTTGCATGCAAATCAGTCACTCAAGTGGTTTGTTCAATGGTCCAGTGTTAAAAACATTGGGTTACAAGCTAATTCTAGAGTCTTACATTTGCTGAAGGAATCAAACTGAATAATATCTTCAGCAAATCGGACAACAGAAGACCTACCTGTAATTCACAAAGCTGAATCCAAGTGAAGACAGAAAAGCCTCAGACTTTGAAAAACTTGAAGTGCAGACAGGATGTGGCCCCACCATGAAGGATCACGGTTAGTGGATCAGGCACGTCGTTTTTCAATTTTGATGATACAAAAATTGCCTCAAAGTCGTTTGTAGCACCTGTAATATATCAAGTACACGGAGCATGAAAAGCAGTACTTTACTATAGTCGTAAGATGAGATCTTAGACATCTGAAATGGGAATGAAAAAGCTACTGGTTACCACATTTAAAGAACTCATTTGGCCTCTGGCATGCTATACACAAGGAACAAGCTGAACCGAAGTATGAGATACGAATTAACTAAGTTCTATTAAGATTTTTCACTTCTTCTGACACACAATTCAACTCGAGATACTACTATAGAAAAGTCAGTTTCCCCATCCAGTAGCCTTTCTGATCCCCAAGGCCCCCAGGTACCATATCTAGAGTTCCCTAAGCCCATCTCGAAAAAGACACTAACTCATCTTGCAATCTTGCTCCGCTGATTTCTTACTCTTTCCATTTAACTCTAGCTCTTTCTGTGCATATGATCAACAGATCATCCAAGCCTTCGTTCGACTATAAGAAATTAGCTAGCATTATGAACGGGTTCCGTCGCACTTGCTTCATGCTCCTCACCAATCATTTTATTCGAACTTTCAAGTGGTCCTCGAAATCTTTTCTGTTTTTGTCAAAATCCTTGAGAACCTACTCGAGCAAGGACAACTCCATCACTTTGTACATGAACCAATAACAACATTACAGCGAAAACGGGAATTACAATAAAAAGAAGCAACCTCGGATGCTAGTGTCACGGCTCGAAGAATTGGATCGTTCCTGATGTTTTCTGGACGATGGACCGTGATCGACCCTTGGACGAGAAGGCAGGCCCCGAGTGTTCTAGTACTAGGGTTTTCTTGATGTCTTCTAGAATACTCCTGGGGGCGGGCGATACGGTAATTGTACCCTTCCGTAATAAATGCAGTAGGTGGGGTAGTTGGGGGAGTACGATCTCGACCGTTGAGATCTGGGAGAGATCTACGGATATGGTCAGCCCGATACTTGTATATAATAGGGTCTCCTCCCCTCATTTTATCATCTCTCATTTCTAAGAAGCAATACAAAGTTCAGAGCTTCTCTCTTTAGAGTTTCTCTCTCTAAAGTTCTTGCGAGTGTGAGTGTGGGAAGGCTTACTTGGGGAGAAATTCCTAAGGCCGCACGGGTGTGGGAACGCTAGATCGATCGACCCGTGACACTAGGATATGTAAATGAGCAGCAACAATTAAGCTGCACAACTGCAAATATTAACGTATGAAGCTTGTCAACACAAGAAAATGCATGTAAGAAGGAGACTGATCCTTGTCCAATCTACCACATTGCTTACAAAGGAAGACCACGTCTGGCAGAAACTTCTAAAGATGCACAAATGCACTTATTTATCAAGTTGACATGAAAAGGAAGAAGCAGGGGAATGTATCAACGAAAGGACACACATACATAAGCGCCAACCAAACTAATAACGTAGAACTACTACGATTAGCAACAAGCAAAAAAAAGAAAGGTAACCGTGACGCTTTTATTCGAATTTGTCGAGACAGAGGAACCTTCCCAATTACAACAATGCAAAACTGCTACTATGATCAGATGATCAGCCAAAATAGGGCTTTTATTCGACAGATCTGTCCAGAGACAACATGCTACAACAACGTAGCGAGAGGAACTCTAGAACTACTGTGATCACAGCAAAAAAAAAGTAACCGTAACACAGCATGCAACAATGTAGCGACGAACCGTCGCATGTACAACAATCTACTATGATCAACTATATAGGTAAGACCAGAAAGAATCAAATCCGTCCTCCAAGCCTCCTCCGGCAAGGCAGAGAGCTTCATCTGCAGCACGATCAGAAACGGAGGAGGAACGAGCATCAAAGAACCGGATGATGAAGCAAAATCAAAGAGGAAAAGAAGGCACGGATCCAACGCACCTCTAGGTAGAAGTAGAAGCGGCAGGAGGAGGAGGATCATTGTCCTCTTTCCACTTCCTCTCCTTTCCCGGATGCTTCAGGTCAGCGCAAGCTCCATCGGCGTAAGCTTCCTCGTGAGCTTTCAATTGCTGAAGGTTGCGGAAGAGGCTTCCGCAAGCAGGACACTGGCGCTTGGAGCTACGGTGGACTATGGAGTTGTGGCTTCGGAAGCCACCGTCCGTCAGCCATTTACGGCAGGCGAAGCAATATTTTGTGAGCTCCTGGCCTTTCCCCATTTTTTGATTCAGAGAAAATGGCGGGACTGATTTGATGGGACAAGATCGTGGGTTTCTATTTCTTTATTTATATTTAGGGATAAGTGCACTACAAGTCCTAAAACTTGTCACAAAAGTGCATTTGAGTCCTAAAACTTACAAAAAGTGTAATTGAGTCCTAAAATTTGTCAAATTGATTCAATCGAGTCCTAAACTTAACACCGTTAAATTTACTAACGGAAAATGCTGACGTGGCGCTGATGTGTTATATTTTAATACTTTTATTGAGACACGTGGCGTCCAACAAGAGCCACGTCAGAAAAAGTTAAAAAAATGTAAATTAAATTAGAAAAAGCTATAAAAAAAGCAAAAAAAAATGGAAAAAAAACCCTAAACCAGCAGCTGCCAAGCCCTCGCCGGGAAGCCGCCGCCACAGCCGCCGGGAAGGACCGGCGGAGGTCGCCTGGGCCTTCCCGAAGCCCGGCGACCCTCGCCGGCTCTCGCCTGGGGCCGGCGCGGACCAGCGAGGCCTCGCCCAGGGTGGGCGACCCCAGGCGAGGCCTCGCCGGCCTCCGGCGACCCTCGATCATATCTGAGGCGAAGGTCGCGCCCTCCCCCAGATCGGGGGCTTCATGCTGTCGCCGGGGACCGGTGGGGCCTTGCTCGGGGCTGGCGAGGGTCGCCGGGCTTCGGGAAGGCCCAGGCAACCTCCGCCGGCCCTTCCCGGCAGCTGTGGCGGCGGCCACCGGCGAGGGCTTGGCCACCGCCGCAGCTGCCGGTTGGGGTCTCCTTTTTTTTTTTTTATAGCTTTTTTCTATTTTTATTTTTATTTTTATTTTTGCTGACGTGGCGCTTATTAGACGCCACATCATTGCCACGTGTCCCAATAAAAGTAATAAAATATGACATGTCAGCGTTTTCTGTTAGTAAATTTAACAGTGTTAAGTTTAGGACTCAATTGAATTAATTTGACAAGTTTTAGGACTCAATTGCATTTTTTGTAAGTTTTAGGACTCAAATACACTTTTGTGATAAGTTTTAGGACTTGTAGTGCACTTATTCGTTATATTTATATATTGAGTCGGTGTAGTAGTCTTTTCCCGTTGGGTGGTGGGGTGCACCCGACCCGATCCGAGCGAAGAAAAGGCGAAGGCCAAACAGTGGCGCTCTGCCTTCTCTCCGCGTACTCTCGGTGCCCGTCGATGTCGCGCGAGACCGTCTCGAGCTGCGGGGACGGAGCTTCGTCCGCTTCGGCCTCGGCCTCGGCCTCCGCGTTCGCCGACCGAACGCCGCCGGATTGGCCGAGATCGAACCGGACGTGAACGAAGAAGAAGGACCCGGTGGACCGGTTGGGCCACGATGCAGTAAGCTCTTCAGCTTCTCTATCCCGTTCTTCGTTTGGTGAAATAGAGAAGAATCGAACATGTTCTCTGGGTTTCCTTTCTCACGAATACAATGCTTCCTCCGACAGACAACTCCCTGTTTTAATTTGTGGACGTAGAGCATGTGCATGTTGGTGGTGGAGACGTGATCTGAAGCTCTGTTGGTTGGTGCTGATCGCAGGAGGATTTTTTAAGTGTGCAGAGAGAGTTCGATGGCCACCGCACTTGTCAAGAAGGGGATGAAAAAGGTGATAATATTGCGTCGCAAGTTGTCTTCTTCTTCTTCTTTTGTTCCCTTTCTGTCTTTTGCTCTTTTGTGGGCTCGTTTTACTCGGGGTTAGAAAACTGTGGGGTTCATCAATTTGCGAGCAATATCAATTGATTCCAGAATGAAACTTTTAAATGAAAGAGACGATTTATTGTGTGATTGAATGGAATTTTAATATCATAACATGAATTCCAGTATAACTGGAGAACTTAGTCCATACATACTGATTGAAAGGCAGGTGAATTGCAGATTTGCTAAGTACTAAATAGTTACATTTGCGGTACAATAGTGGGATAGTCTTTTGAGTTTAAAATGTGGAGCCTAATAGTGGCTTGTTTGCAGTAACTTTGCTTTTAACCGTAGAATGATGCCTGCGATTTATGATGCTGACTGCCCACTAGGAAATTGCCCGTGCTGTAAGAAGAATCATCTTGTCCTTTCAACTTTCGGTTGACTCTTGCTGCTTTTCGATCTAGGAACTTTCTGGGGAGCAATTGCGGAAGATATCGCTGCAGTTGAACCGCCGACTGGCTTTCAGGGTACAAATAGTTATGTCAAGCATCCTTTTGCATTTGATTTACAGCTAATCACAGGGATGAGGATGAACAACTGATTGGTGCAATCGCTAATTGCAGGGCTTATCTCATGGCTTTTCCTTCCAGTGGTCGCTGCAGGAATGTACTTAGATGTTCCGGTAATACAAAGGAATATTTAGCTCTGTTAAGCATAGGACAATCCAATCTGCTATGTCTCCCTCTGTTAACCTATCAAATGACTAAGGATAGCCTTGGCTTCCTTTTCCTTCAGGTAGAGTACTTGTACATTGGAGCAGCTCTCTTTACTGTTGTCTTTTGCATCATTGAGATTGATAAGCCTGACAAGCCCCACAACTTTGAGCCCCATATATACACCATGGAAAGAGGAGCCCGTGATAAGTTAATTGCCGACTACAATACCATGGACATATGGGATTTCAATGAGAAATATGGAGATCTGTGGGACTTCACCGTTGTAAGAGATGATATAACCAAAAGATGACTGTTCCTAAAGTAAAGATGGTAATTGTTCTTTAACGATCTCTGTATATGAGGAAATTACAGGTTTATGTCTTTCCTTTCTAGATTGCCTGCTCTGTATTTTCCAGTTTTGCCTTTCGCTCCCATAAAGCTAAAGCGAGATATGAAGGAAGAGAAAGCTTGCAGAAGCAGCTGTTTATAAGCCCTGTGATGATGATGCATGCCGGTGCAAAACTTGCACTGTTAGTTTCATTACTTCAATTTCACATTATTATCCCGGACCAAAAGTAAACTTAACTGCATTGCACGGTCGACTTTAGGTAATGTCTTTCTGTTCGGCGGGATATACACACACTTGGATAGTTTCCTTGTAGAAAAGTTCCGGTTCCTTTGACCATTGGTGGAATGGGCAAGTACGTTTGATGCTAGGTGAATACGCCTTATTACAAGTCATAGCATGAAAAGACTGAGGCTAGTGATTTCTGCTGAAGAGTGAAATAACTATCAAGGATATCCAGTTTCTTTTCCCTTTCTCTTTCTTTTTAGTTTACTGTGGTCTTGGAAAAATGGATAAGCAGCGGCATATATGTCTTTGACCTCCAGCAGTGTAGCGTGCAAAGCTTCTTTGGAAGGCCTAAGTGCTTCATTTGAGCTGCTTTTCAGGTGCCCCAAGATTAAGACTTTTAGTAGCCCGCTTCTTGTTATGCCTCTATCGCTCTGTCCATGCTCGATGAGGACTCTTGCTCACAGTGCAGTCCAAGTGATATGGTGAATTGACGTGCTAAAGATTACTCCACCGAGTTATTCTCATGGTACTATAGATATGTACATAGTTGCAGCTTGTCCAAAAAGAGGCCATGTTCTGGTTATGAATTTCGTTGACCCCAAACTCATAATTGCTTGCTTATCCCCTCCCTAGCATTGATCTTTGTTCGTTAAATTTTGTGCTTATTCTCGGACATTCATGTTTTCGATATGCTTGCTCTGAAAATGTACTATCAGTCATCTGCATCTGATGCATGTAGTGCTTTCAAATGTTGTTCCTTAAACGATGGTTATTACCATGTACCCTTTTTGGAAAACATATGGTAGTTGGAAATTGCGGGTATGCAGGTAGTTGCTTTCCATTATTATCATCATCCGAGACCATTTCAGCTTGCTCTTTTGAGGTGCTCAAGGACCATTCAGATTGAAAAAGAACATGTTTCCATGAGGGGCTAACATTATATCCATAAGTCCAGCAAAACCATGGACTCAAAAGGATAAAGTTTCTCTTTCCTAAGTGAACAAATGGACAAGCATGCTCGGCCAGAAACACCGTGGAAGAGAAACGCCCAGTCGCTGATGGTGACCTCCCCATCGATCCCAATGAACTTGGCCGCATCTACATCCAGCTGTTGTTGTCTAGTGATAATTTCTCAAAAACAGTTCATAGATTTGTCGAGGATTGGCTGCAGAAGTCCAGGGAATAGAGTTAATGTTCAAATTTCTTGGCGTGATTTCATCATGACGTTTTCTGAAGAACGGGAACCATTTCTAAGCTGGGTGAATGTCATTCAGACAGGAGGACAATGCATTCTACTTATCAACTTAGCATGGTGATTTTGCTCCTCCTCCGCTCATGGACATAGGTCAATGGACAAACGATGCAATTCATCGCCTTACTTCATTTATATATTTACTTATGTACGTTCGACCTTTAATATGTTGTACCGTTTTGCACAAGCAAGTATACGATCTTGTCTCATTTCTTTTTCAACATTCCATATGGTCCCAGGAAAATTTAATTTCAAGATTTCATACACAACATGGACTTCGAGAGTTGCTGTAGGTCTGATGCATGCTCTTTGACACGAATTAGGCTGCAAAATGTTTTGTTCAGACAAGATGCTGATTGCGCTGCACCATGCAACTTCACCCCGATATACATTTTGCGGGTGGAATTTAATTCCGTCGTAGAATAACAAAGAACTCCTCGAGCTTGCATTGTCCCCCATGCCAATGCAAGTTTCCCAATTCCCATAGCAGATTTAGTTCATCTTGGACAGTGCTGGCCTGGCTTAGAAAAACGTGTCTTCGACTAGGGAAAACTGATCTCTACCGCATTTTAATGTGGTAGGTTGGAAGAGAAAAGCAACACGTGTGATTCTTAGGATGTTGTAGTAAAAACTTGTTTCTAGCTTTGTGCTGCAGTATAGTAGAGGGTTTTGGAGGTTTTCTATACGCAGTTTCTTGACATCTTCTTTTCCTTTTAGAGAATTTCAACATAATTTGCTCTTATATCTTAAGAATAATAACTAATGAAGAGACTTCTTTTATACATTTTACGAACATGCACTGACTGGGTGAAAGGAGCAATTGTTTTTTTGGGGGTTGTGCTGAGGCGAAGCACAGTGTGGAAATTTAGTTAGATGGTGGTTTTCTCGATACAAGAACAATCTATGTGTATGATATCGTAAATAGACATTTTTTAAGATCAATTTCATTGTATACATATTAAATTTCATTAATTAACAAAAGCGTGACGTTATAGACCGCAGATTTTTCATCATGGACGTATTGGTTTTTCCATAATAATAATCGATTTAGGATATCACAGAGTCGCGAGCACCATAAATGCACACGATTGTGTATTTTTTTTGGTCGAAAGTTATGAATACGAGGTTTTCCGATCACATCACTGTTTGATTCCGAAATCGAAATGTCAAATTCACATCGTTGTTTTGTAGAATTTTGGATGATATTCTTCACAAAACAGGCCAAAAAAGGCCCCAAAAAAAAAAAAAACCGACCACGCGAGGGAGAAAGACGCCCAAATGACCCGATTCTCATTTGACCCGGAAAGAATTATACTAGTTGACTTTCATTAATTATTTTTAGTCAAACTGTTCTATCCATGTGTACGTGTTGGAAGAGTGAAGCCGAGTTGACTTAAAGATGCAACAACGACGTATTTCTTTTTATTGTGCATTTTTCCATCGCTAGAAAGGGCGTAAGGAATTATTAAAATTTTATTTTCTTCAATTCCTAATGTAGTGGAGCAGAAGATTTAGGCCTTTTGTCTTTTTCTAAGGAGAAATGTTACTTACTGATTTTCTTTTATTATAAATAATTTAAATCTCTTATGTGTTTTAAAATATGTCGATATTATGGAGGGCGATACCATCCATACTACTAGCGAAAGAGTACACACACGTGTGCGCGCAACGAAAAAAACGAATTTCCTTTTTTTTTCTTTTACAAAAGAAGATGAAGATTGGATTATTTTCCAATAATATATACTCGTGCTCGCTTTAGGATGAACGACAGCATACCCTTTATTAACACCACCCAAAACATAAGTATGGCATAGTGCCATAGTCAAATATTAGTTCGAGGACGGAGGTCAATGGGAGTCGCTGAGTCCATTCAGGAGCGGCTTAAGTGGCGTGAGCCATGATTAGTAGCTGATCTGTACTTGTCTGCAAATCACGATATCGATCCTGCAAACAGATTATACGCACAACTTGTAGGAATATAAATACAATATATATATATATATATATATCATATATATATTATGTCCTCTTGGAAATTGACCTCTTAATAATTGACATAATTAATGCAATGAAGAAAGAACTCTCTTTCTATCAAAGCACTAACACAAATTAGATAAGAAAAAGGTTAATGATTTTACTACAAGTTGATCGAAGATGTTAGTCCGTGTTAAATATGTCTTGAATTTTATGTACTCGGTCCGGTTCATCACCCGACCCGACATATTTTTTGTGCGACCCAAAAGTGGAGAAAAAAATTGAGATTTGGTTCGTGATACGGAGGGTTGAGCCGATAGGCCCAACTCGGAGCAAGCGAACAAATCTCTATGGTGGTCTGCCTGAGCTGGAGTAAGCGAACAAATGTCTCAGGGGGTTCGGGGGCGTAGCCCCTGAGGAAATTATTTGGGGAGCCCTATTTATACCGTGGCTAGGTTTTCTCATTGACACTGATAGAGAATTTTGTTTTCGGAGAGATTTTTGTGAGCCGTGAGGTTTTGTTAAGTCGTTGTTTCGACTTCTGAAAACCGTACTCTCTTTGATTATAATGGAATCTTGTCTTGCCTCGCCCGTGAACGTAGATCACCTTGTGATCGAACCACGTAAATTCTTGTGTTCTGTATTTGTTTTTCCGCGTTTGTTTCCAACAGTCCGGATAAACTTTACATAAAGTAAAAGAAGCCGGCCTCAGTAAAGTGAATGGGACTAAACCCCTGCGCCATACCAATATCAAGGATCACCACAAGCTTGAAAACGCCAGAGGAAATCCTGAAAGACTATCCAGAGAAGCTGAAAGGACATCATAAATTTGGTTAAAGAAGCATACTTGATTTACGAGCATCCAGTGTCGATCATAATACTTCAAACCGAGGACCGGCTTGGCCGAAAAGTAGAAGTGGAATAGCGCAATGCGGGTCCATATAACATGAGTTGAGGATTCTAGAAATTGTCATGCCATGAGCCTCATTAGCACTTACAGATATGTCAAATTTGAAAGTACAGAGTTAGAGATTTGGATCGCACAAACTGCACGAGTTGAAGGACTGAAATATTCATTTATCCAAAATTTGAAAATATAGCGCTTGTGGAAATAATAAATGACGAGGTGTGTTATATTTTTCGATCACCGAAATGCCTTGATTCATCAAATTGTAAATAACGCTTAAATGTCGTCGATGACAACGTCTTAAGGTCAATGAAAATAGCATGAAGCTGAAGCATTTGATGAAAGGACAAGGTAAATAGTACAATTTTCACAATGATTAATAAGTTCTTTAGCCTCTTGACTCTAAATCCTGGCTTCAAATTACGGCTTACAAGGCAGGTTGGGCTTCTAATTACCAGCATGTTCTCTAACCATCGTGCAGATATTTACTTTTGTGCTTGCATCCGCCGAGTTATTACATAATATTCCAGAAGCAATCTAATCTTGCATTCCATCGTCTAGCTCGGCAATCTGAAAGGTGCAAGAGCCGATATGCCGTCGAGCCCCTTCGAGTAATAGTGCGTCATGAACTCTCCGAGTGTAATTTCGCGGTACAAAGCCGGCCTATCTTCCAACACCAGCTCCTTTATCGGCCCGTACATCTTCGACGCCGGATCTTCATAAAGAGTGAAGAAGCAGGCGATGGATAGCCTCGGGCCGACATCTTTCGACAGCACTCGGTGCTCGACGCTTTTGAAAACGTCGTTCGACATAAGCTGCCAGGAAACAAACAAACAAAGCACATGTAAGTGGACCAATAGAACCTCTTTCATCTATGTCTTGCAGTTTCTTTCTAATTCTAGCCTAAAATCAATATAAGGCAAATCCCGGAAGAAACGGGCTACGGTAGTGTTAGGAGCGGGATCAAGAGCATGCCTGGAGGAGATCTCCAATGTTGACGACTAGAGCGCCCGCGACAGGAGGGACATCAACCCATTGATCCTGGTAATAAACTTGAAGCCCGCCGATATCATCTTGTAGAAGGATCGTGAGGAAGTCGGGATCTGAATGATTGGCAGTGCCCATGGTCAGATCGGGCTCGGGGCAAGCCGGGTAATAGTGATAGAGAAGAGCATGCCCTTTAGCACAGTCCATGTTGCCAAGGTAGTCCGGCTTGAGGCCTAGCGCTTCCGAGAGCAATTCGAGCAGAGTGGTACCGACCGCCTTCACTTGCTTGGAGTATTCCATTATCGCGTCCCTAGATAAGTTTCAGGTACCAAAATTCGAAAATAGGTTGGATAATACAAGACGGACTCTATATCAGTCCACGGTACGAGGCGCGGAGATAAAATCTGTAGCGAGATATCGAGTGGTTTACCTGCAAACAGGAGGCAAGTCTTCAGGATCGAGCGGCTTGGGTTCCATGAGGCAGAATAAAGTGTCCCTCCATTGCGCATACGTCGACTTGTACAAGTCAAAATTACACCAGAAATTCACCCTCCTCTTGCCCTCCCGATCATAGTACTCGGCCTTCACCTCCTTCGGCAGCTCGTGGAAGGCACGCGCCGCCCCAAACGCCCCTTCCAATATGCTGTCCGGTACCCCGTGGTTCACCACCTGGAAGAAGCCAACCTCACGCGCTGCCTCCAGGACTTGCTCCACTGCCCCCGGCCAATTCGTGGCGAGGTTGTTGAGGTCGATGACAGGGATTTGGAGTTCGGTCGCTCCAGATTTGGATCGGTCACGGGCGATCTCTTCGGCTGGCCGGACGAAGATTCTCGGGATTTTAGCGAGGCCGGAATCAGAGAGGCCTTTCACGCCCGATTTTGTCTCGTCGAATTCTCTTAGCTCTTGGTAGCGGTTGTAGGTCGATGGAGTGATGTCGGTTGAATCAGCTGTCACCTCCATTTTCGCACCTTGTTTCGGTCAGTTATCAAGCAAGAGGGATAAGTTACCAGTGATAAGAGGTTGAGGATACCCTTATGTAATGTGTCCCTGATATTTATATAGAGCGAGAAAGAGAAACTAATTCCCTGTGCATGATGCTGTTGTATCTGCACCCTTTGCATCTAGACCGATCTTATGCGTGTCCCAAGTGGGAATCCAAGTACGATCTGCCAAAGTCAATGATCTTGATATACATCCGAATACGTAAGCCATATTTGCAATTATTCCCATTTTACTTTCCATCTGCCAAAGTCAATGATCTTGATATACATCCGAATACGTAAGCCAGATTTGTAATTATTCCCATTTTACTTTCCAAATACCAACAAAACAGATCTGACATCTCTTTCGAATCCTCTTGTAAAATTTGGACGGATCATCAATAGACACGTCATTATACGGATTGCATTTGATACCCTGCACAGTTCATAAATGTAGTTCGATACGGACGTAACTCCACCCGGCCAATTTCCAGCTGAAGTCATTCCTCCTTTGAAAACCTACTAGCGAGAAGGTAGTTGTGATGATCCATTAATGTAGCCAAGAAGGTGTCTTTCGCTACAGAAATGGTGGTCCGAGCCTGAGCTACAAGCAAGCGCAGATAATTCATGCTAGCCCTGTTTAGATTTTCCAACGCAACTATAAAGTAATACATAGCCGACTCTTATTGGGTCGTTGAATAAAGCGCGCTACCAGTTTGTCACGTCACTTAACTGCAAATGACTTTGCTGGACCAGACTTATCGGGCTTGCTCAAGTATATATATATTGAGCACGTGTTTCATTTTACTTTCATGACATTTAATTATTGGTCTGAATTTTGTAAGCATTCAAATATGCCTTCCTCTCACTGAAAACCCGAGTTCCACAATCATACATGCCCATTATCCTTATAAATCACCGGAGAAATTATTCAAAAAATCTTAAACCTATTGTATGGTGATCAATTTAATTCTAAACATGTCAATTATACAAAATTAATCATAAAACTTTTAATGATTTACCAATGTAATCCTTTCGATCAATTTACAAATATCCCAAATCACCACCAAGAGCATATGGACCTGTGAGCTACAGTGAGTGCCCAATGTGTATGGGAGGGGAGGTTTTTACGACCAAATATCCCATTATTAGCCAAAAATTTAAATTGTGGTGATTCGAATAAAAATTGCCACATCTAATTTAAGCCCGTAATCACTCAGCCATCTCCTTGATATTGTTTATTTTCTGATTAGGCTACCATGATACCAATATTTGTTTATGTCTAATGGCAAGACTCGATCCAAACCATTTCAAGTACGGTTTTAAAATGAAATTTCCAGATGATAAGTTAAGTGTTGAAATATCCAACATCACTTATCTATGGGTTTATATGCTCTTTATATATGTGATATTCTTTTCACCTATTAATTTAAGCTTTTGGATGAAACTTTTTAGTACGGTATTAGAGCCAATTTTTGTCCCAATTTACCATTTGTCAAATTTCACGTGTTATTCCTAAACTAACGGGAGTCTTTTTTCGCTTGTTGTGGTGAATAAATCTACTTGCAACTGAAAATTTTGTGAGAACGTTGCCATCGATCTAGCAAGCAAAATGTCCAAGATATGATTCTATGACATCTCCGAGATTCAACGGAAGCTCTCCCCTCCCGATTTAGGTATAGATCTAAATCTGAGAGCTTTTCTCTCTCAATCTAAATCTAGAATTAGAAGTTTCTTAGAGGCATTTGATATATGGTGGTTCAACATGTTGTGTTCGCATGGCAATGGTGTTAAAGACACAGAACCTAGGCGCACACTGCAAATCGTAGTATCTAGAGGGGAAGATCTCGGCGTGTGTCCATCACTAACGGTTTCGATCATTGGCCGTCGATTATTCTTTTATGCTATGACATATCTGGTCTTTGGGATGAGATTGTGCTATAGTTGCAAACTGTACTCTTTGTTTTCTGGGTTTTGTTTTGTTTTGTAGTTCTTTTAGAATTTGCTTTGCTTAGAAGCTTTCTATGTTCCTCTCATGTTTGATTATGATAAATGAATTCAATAAAAAAAAAAACTGGTAAGTTCCATGCATTGCACGGGGTCTGAGTGCATAAACTTTTATATGCAGCTAAAATGGATTTCCTTAAAACACAATATCAATAAAAGCAATGAGCACATCTAGCGCACAATTACAAAAAAAGTACTAAATCTATTACAATTGTGTCAATTTAGTCATAAATATTTCAATTGTGTCAATTGAGTCATAAAGTTTTTTACATTTTACCAATTGAGTTTATTCGGTCAATTTTGGCTGAAAATCACCAACTCGGATACCAACCGTCTCGACATTAACGTGAAATTTTTTAATAATATTTTAATTGTTATGAAATACATGAATGAATATTCATTATGTTCAATGTATCTATTATGGCACATTCGTAATCTACATACATGAATGAATATTCAATGTACCTATTATGGCACATTCGTAACCTACATTCTACGTATGAATGCCCATCTCCCTATTCAATGTATATATTCAATACATTGACATTAATGATATGTGCATCCTTGTTTCCTTATAAATAGGAGCTTATTTTTGGTCATTGGGTAAGAAATCAGATCAGAAGAAGAGAATGAAAGAGGAAAATATACAGTGAAAATAAAATTTCTCCTCTGACTTTCTCTACCATCTTTAGTGTTTATCTACTTCTCTACTTAATCTCTCTCTATTCTCTCTATTATATTCTTGCAGCGCAATATTTTACAACACGTTATCAGCACGAAGATCTACCAATTGAGTAAATAATTTTTGCAAGGTAAGTATATATTCTCTTTTTTTATTAATCAACTTATACTTCATCTTCTTCTATCAATTTTTTTTTCTTTTGCTTGGCCTGAAGCCAAATTTCCAACCTAAAAGTATCCTTCTACTCCTGAAGTGGCGGTGGATATTTGGAAATCCTTCTAATTAATTTAAGGATTCATTTGTTTTGCAAGAATTATGGCAAATATTAAAAAGCCCAAATTCCACATCCTCGAAGTGAGTGGAAATAATTATCTATCTTGGTGCCTTGACATGGAAATGCACCTCCAAGGGCAAGATCTTGCTAACGCAATTACAGAAGATGGAACCTCAAATGCAAAAGATAAAGCAAATGCACTCATTTTTATTCATCATCATTTGCATGAGAGCCTGCAGACTCAATATTTATCCGTTCGAGACCCTCAGACCTTGTGGAAGAGGTTGAAGGATAGGTATGATCATACCAAGACTGTTATCCTTCCTCAAGCACAATATGACTGGCAAAATCTCAGACTACAAGATTTTAAATCAGTGTCTGACTATAACTCCGCTTTATTTGATCTTGTTTCTCGGCTTGAGTTATGCGGTATCAAGCTCACTGATGCGGAAATGTTAGAGAAAACTTTCTCCACCTTCCATGCTTCGAATATTGTATTGCAACAGCAATACCGGCAGCGTCAATTTGACACATACTCTGAATTAATTTCTGTGCTCCTCACTGCTGAGCAAACTAATGAATTGCTGCTCAAAAATCATGATCTTAGACCTGCTGGCTCAAAAGCATTGCCTGAAGCACATGCTAACTCTGAGAAAATTACTGGCCATTTTAAGGGCTACAAGCGCAGGCAAGAATATAATCCTTGAAGGGGTGGCAGAAAATTTAACCGCCCTAGGAAATCTAACTTTGGCCCGAATCATGATAAAGAAAAGAAGCCAAAGAAGGTGACTAATGAAAGTATTTGCCATCGTTGTGGCATGACTGGGCACTGGTCACGTACTTGTCGTACGCCAAAGCACTTTGTTGATCTATACCAGACATCTTTAAAAAATACGGGCAAACGTGGTGAATCTCACGCCATTGAAATTAATCCTGCTGCCATAACCACTGTTGAGGCCAACAATATCTCTGTTGGTGGGACTCCTCTTGCTCCTGAAGTAGCAAATGCATCCCTGGATGTCTCTGATTTCTTTGAGGACCTCTGATTACTTTGATGAAGCATCACACTGGTGGATGACATCTTAGACTTCGAATTTTATGATTCTAATAATTTCTTTTCTAGTTGTTTTTCTTTAAATGTATTACCTTTTATTGTTCTTTAATATGGTTATGCAATGAAATGCTTATGAACTTGACATAATATTTATTATTTTGAAATTTTATTTGACCCTATAACTAATATGAAAATTTTATGATACTTGACACCTGAAGTTGTCAACATAAATGCAAATGGAAAACACCGAGAAAAAGGAAGATGTTTGTTTGCTTGATAGTGCATCAACGCATACCATATTTCGTAGTAAACACTTTTTCTCGAGTATGACATTGCGTAAGACACATGTCCATACAATATCTGGTCCTATTCCGATTATTGATGGTTTCGGGAATGCCACAATTGTTTTGCCAAAAGGCACCATCCTGCATATTGAGAATGCATTTCTAAGAAGTAGATCAAAAAGGAATCTGCTTAGCTTCAAAGATGTACGCCGTAATGGGTACCATGTTGAGACTATTTATGAGCAAAATAAAGAATATATTGGCATTACCTCTTATAAGATGGGCTTGAAGACCATCCATGAGAAGCTAGAAGCTTCTTCTATGGGTTTGTATTGTGTCATGATTAAGGCCGTTGAAACCTACTCCACCATATCCTGGAGATTGGTAAACCCTGATCAGTTTGGATTATGGCATGATCGCCTTGGTCACCCTGGCGCTTCAATGATGCGTAGAATAATTCAAAATACAAAAGGGCACCCTTTAAAGGATACAAAGGTATTATTGTCCAAAGATTATAATCGTGAAGCTTGTTCACAAGGAAAACTCATTATGAAACCTTCTATAACAAAGATTGATCTTGAATCCCCTTTATTCCTGCAAAGAATTCATGGTGATATTTGTGGACCAATACAACCACCAAGTTGACCGTTTCGATATTTTATGGTACTAGTGGACGCATCCTGTAGATGGTCCCATGTTTGTCTATTATCTACGCGCAATGTCACCTTTGCACGTTTACTTGCGCAGATTATAAAGCTCCGGGCACAATTCCCTGATTATCCAATTAAAAGCATAAGGATGGATAATGCTGGTGAATTTACATCAAAGAGTTTTCATACGTATTGTACTTCACTCGGAATCGAGGTCGAGCACCCGGTCGCATATGTTCATACTCAAAATGGATTGGCAGAATCATTGATTAAACATATCCAAATCATTGCCCGCACTCTATTATTGAGAACGAATCTCAACGATACAGCATGGGGTCATGCAGTTTTGCATGCGGCAGCCCTAATAAGATTGCGCCCCACTACTAGTCTCTTACAATCTCCCCTTCAAATGGTTCTTGATTATGAACATGATATTTCACATTTACGCACCTTTGGTTGTGCAGTGCAGGTGCCTGTAGCACCGCCAAAAAGAATGAAAATGGATCCCCAATGCCGTTTGGGCATTTATGTTGGGTATAATTCACCGTCCATCATTAGGTTCTTGGAACCAACTACTGGTGATCTTTTTACTGCCAGATTTGCAGATTGTCATTTCAATGAGACTATGTTTCCATCGATTGGGATACCTAAAACTGACATGGCTGCGAAGCAAAAACCAGTTAAGGTTTTCTCCTGGAATGAGAAAAAATTATCTCAATTAGACCCAAGAACTCCTGAGTATGAAAACGAGGTGCAACGCATAATCCATTTACAGGCTATAGCCAATAGACTTCCTGACGCATTTAATGATGCTACTAAGGTAACGAAGTCTCATATTCCAGCTGCAAATGCTCCAGCTAGGATAGCTGTTCCCGAAGGACAAGCTAAAATGGATCAAAATCCCCCACATTTGAAGCGTGGTAGATCGATAGGATCAAAAGACACTGTTCCTCGAAAACGAAGGGGAAAGAATCAGGAATCCGCTCCAAAAGAGCCCGGTGTTGTGCTTACTCCTAAAGAGCTTAATGCCCCTGAAGAGGCACAAACCCATGAAAAGATCACCAACCCTAGGAATACTGAGAATTCCATTACATATTGTAATGAGATTTGGGATCAGAATGAAATCATCATTGATGATGTTTTTGCATTCTCAGTTGCTCATAAAATTATGGATGATGATTGTGAGCCGCAATCTATTATTGAATGCCGTCAAAGCACGATTGGTCTAAGTGGGAGGAAGCAATTAAGGCTGAATTAGCTTCCTTAGCTAAACGAGAGGTTTTTGGACCCATAACTCGCATCCCCGATAATGTAAAGCCCGTTGGATATAAATGGGTATTTATCCGAAAACGAAATGAGAAAAATGAGGTTGTCAGGTATAAAGCCCGACTTGTTGCCCAAGGATTCTCCCAGAGACCTGGGATTGATTATGATGAGACATATTCACCTGTGATGGATATGATTACATTTCGTTTTCTCATTAGTCTGGTACTCTCTGAAAGATTGGAAATGCGTCTTATGAACGTTGTGACGGCATATCTATATGGCTCATTAGACTCGGATATTTATATGAAAATTCCTGAGGGATTCAAAATGCCTGATGCATGCACTCCCCGCAACTTATTCTCAATAAAATTGCAAAGATCTTTGTACGGGTTAAAGCAATCCGGTCGCATGTGGTATCAACGCCTAAGTGAGTACCTAATTAAGGAAATGTACAAGAATGATCCTATCTGCCCATGCGTGTTTATTAAGAAATCAGAAACCGGATTTGCTATTGTAGCAGTTTATGTCGACGATATAAATTTAATTGGAACTCCAGAAGAGTTAGCTAAAACTGCTGAGTATTTGAAAAAGGAATTTGAAGTTAAAGATTTGGGTAAAACCAAACTTTGTCTTGGTCTAGAGCTTGAGCATAAAGCAAATGGAATAATCGTCCATCAATCAGCATACATTGAAAGATTACTTAAACGCTTCAACATGGACAATGCTCACCCATTGAGCACTCCTATGGTTGTAAGGTCTCTAGATCCTCAAAAGGATCCGTTTCGTCCTAGAGAATCTGATGAAGAGATACTTGGTCCTGAAGTACCATATCTCAATGCAATTGGGGCTTTGATGTACTTGGCACAATGTACGAGACCAGATATCGCTTTTGCGGTAAATTTATTGGCACGTTTTAGTTCTGAGCCAACTCGGAGACACTGGAATGGAGTTAAACATATTTTTCGTTATCTCCGAGGAATCATAGATTTGGGATTATATTATTCCAAGGATTCCACTACCTCTGGTTTAGTTGGATATGCTAATGCTGGATATAAATCTGATCCATATAAAGCTCGCTCTCAAATTGGTTATTTATTTTGTTATAATGGCACAGCCATTTCTTGGCGTTCTACGAAGCAATCGCTAGTAGCTACATCTTCCAACCACTTTGAGATTATTGCTTTATATGAAGCTGGAAGAGAGTGTGTTTGGTTAAGATCCGTTATAACACATATTCACAATTCTTGTTGCTTAACACCGGTTACAAATTCTCCCACTATAATTTATGAAGATAATGCTGCTTGTGTTGCACAAGTTAGGGGAGGATATATCAAAGGTGATAGGACCAAGCATATCTCGCCGAAATTTTTCTATACTCACGAATTCCAAGAAAGTCGACAAATTGATGTTAAGCAGATTCAATCCATAAACAATCTTGCAGATCTTTTTACCAAATCATTACCAACGTCAACTTTTGAGAAATTAGTATATGGCATTGGTATGCGGCGAGTTCATAAGATGCAAGATTAACTAGCCCCAGCAGTGGCTATATAGCTCAAATTGAGGGGGAGATATTGTGAACTATGCATTGCACTCTTTTTCCCTTTTGTCCGGTTTTTGTCCCATTGGGTTTTTCCGACTTAAGGTTTTTAATGAGGCAATTAATGCATCCATAAAAGGGAGAGATCATAAAATTTGTGCCCTGTACTCTTTTTCCCTTTTGTTCGGTTTTTGTCCCATTGGGTTTTTCCGGCTTAAGGTTTTTAATGAGGCAGTATCATTCAATGCACATTCATGAATACAATGAATATTCAAGGGGGAGTGTTATGAAATACATGAATGAATATTCATTATATTCAATGTACCTATTATGGCACATTCGTAACCTACATACATGAATGAATATTCAATGTACCTATTATGGCATATTCATAACCTACATTCTACGTATGAATGCCCATCTCCCTATTCAATGTATATATTCAATACATTGACATTAATGATATGTGCATCCTTGTTTCCTTATAAATAGGAGCTTATTTTTTGTCATTGGGTAAGAAATCAGATCAGAAGAAGATAATGAAAGAGGAAAATGTACAGTGAAAATAAAATTTCTCCTCTGACTTTCTCTACCATCTTTGGTGTTTATCTACTTTCTCTACTTAATCTCTCTCTATTCTCTCTATTATATTCTTGCAGCGCAATATTTTACAACATTAATAACTTTTTTATTCTTTTATTTTTCTTTTTTGCTTTTTTGTACTAAGGACCGGCATGCCCTCGTTGTGGCCGATGAGGGCCTAGGCGAGGGCCACGACGCCCTCATTGGCTAAAGCGAGGGCTGCACCCAATTTGAGCAAGGCCGCGATGCCCACGTCAGCACCGATCTTGCACGTATGGCACGTCGTTATTGGTTGATACTTCCACGTCACGGCGCATGCACATACATATTGTGCCACATGTTGCAACCGCACTTGTTCACACCAACTTTACAAGGATGTATTAGATAAGATTATAGATTCCTTCACCAGCTTAAAAATGTATGATTTTTGTCCTAAACCATGTATATGTATATAAAGATAAATCGATATGACGCTACTCAATTTGCATAACTCTTATTCAATCAATTTTTAGTATCCATGCAATTAATTTGCCTAACCAACCAATATGCTAAATGGTGTCCGTGTTCGATGCAGCAGAAGATATTGTTATATCAGCCATAACGAACCGATCAACCTAATAATATGGAACTATACGCTAAAAAATGTATATGCAGAAACAGTAGTGTACAAAAGAGGGGCAGGCACATTGACAATACATACATTTGTGTACAAAGAGGCATATAACGATCAACAGCTATGCCCTCAAATATCAGTACAGTCCTAATCATTCCATCCTCCTTCATTCTACAGAAATTTTGTGGATTTATCCACCACTGATTATTTGCTTAAAATTGAAGCAATCCAACATTATAGTCCAATGGCTATTGAACCAACCTGAAATGTGTCAAAGCTGAAGTACCGTCGAGTCCTTTTGAGTCATTGTATGTTATGAACTCGCAAAGGGAGGTTTCCCGATACAAAGCCGGCGTCCCGTCTTCTAACAATATTTCCTTTATCGGGCCGTACATTCTCGTCGTTGGATATAGATGAAGAGTGAAATAGCAAGCCACGGATAATCTAGGGCCAACACGGTTTTCCAACACTCGATGCCAAACACTTTTGAAAATGTCCTTTGACACATAAGCTGTACGAAAGTAAAAGAGTACAGTGAATATCCTCATTTGTTAGGTGCTAGCATTATAGCTATGTAAAACTTGGCCACAATAGACAATGATCTTGCCGATTCCTAAGACCTTTAGAATCTAACTAAGGTTTATAAATTCAGACCGTGCAAACCTACCATTGACACTATTTCTCTAACTACATTCATTTAACCAGTAGTGCTGAAGGTACTCTAGACTGTAGTGTTACCAAATCTTCATATGCAATGGTGCTATACCACACATGAAAAATATGACTACTACCATATTGTGGGTCCAAGAGACATTGTTTTGAATGATCAACGAAAATCAGTGGAAGTTTGCCCCAAAACTCAGTGATAAGGAAGATTCGATAAGTGATAAGGAAAGTTTATAAATAGTTTCAGCACATCTAGCAAGTTATTTCAATTAAGCGGATTGACAAAGTTGAGTTGTTAAGCCACAAAACACAGGAAATATTTTATAGTTTGCGTATGTCCGTTTGATTTACTATGATACCATAAAATTGGTTTTCAAGAGTTCGGAACTACCGAGATGCGAGAACAAGAATTAGGAGGTGAGCTCTCAAATCAACTTAGCGGTCAAATTTGATAGAAAAATTTAAACGTACTAGGAACAGGGTCAAAGCTTGACTGAAGGAGATCTCCAATGTTGACAACTAAAGCTCCAGCCACAGGCAGAACATCAACCGATTGATCTCGATAATAAACTTGAAGTCCACCGATATGGTCTTGGAGAAGGATAGTAAGAAAGTCAGGGTCAGAATGCTTGGTGGTGCCCATAGTCAGATCAGGCTCCGGGCAAGCTGGATAGTAGTGACTGAGAAGAGCATGCCCTTTTGCGCGGTCCATATTTACAAGATGGTTGGGTTTCAGACCAAGCGCCTCTGATAGCAATTCAAACAGAGCGATCCCTAATGCCTTAACTTGCTTGGAATACTCCATCATCATGTCTCTGCAATATATATGCCAAATTAGACCGAGACGAGGATCAGCTTGCTCTATTATTTCAATTAACAAACTTGTTTCAATAGTAAAAGCATAGAACTGCATCGATTTATAAAGGTTTCACAACCTAAGAGGTCTCCAACAAACCATTTTCACAGGCATATTGATTTTGCAGTGAACCCACGATTAGATTACTTTGAAGCAGTCAGATACTGAACAGTTCGCCAACGATGTTAAGCCCGTGTACTCCATTTAACTTTCTTTTAAGCAAACCAAACAGAATTCTCTCTATTGCACACCTCAGGTGCAGTTCCAAGTAGAAGATTAATCAGCAATTTATATGACAGTTCTGCCCAAACCACGGGTGCTAGGAATAGATGAGTACACAAAACTCGAACCAACAAAAAAAAAAAGAATTACCCTCTTTTGAATCCCTTACATAACGGACCTATATTCCCGCGAAATTACCATCTTTCTTCCTTTTCTTCTCAAGATTGCTAGAGCATGATCCAGACCGGAGAGTTCTAGGGAGTTGTAAGGCTAAACCCTGACGGAGAAACCAATGCAGACACTCCATTCCATAATCAAAATGTCATCCATGAAAGCAGCCGAGGAAGAACTTAGAACCCCAAATCTAAGTTGGCCAGTGGCAATTCTACACTGCAGACAATGACAGTCTATAGGATAATTACATCTTCTGAAGCATATCTAACCCAGACGAAGAAGCGTCTTCAAAAGTCAAGTGAGCTTTGAAGTAAGAGCACAATGAAATGACAACACTCTCGTCCTCAATCAACAATGGTACTGAGATTCTGGAGGAACTAGTACCTACAGACCAGAGGCAACTCCAGAGGATCGAGTGGCTCAGGCCCCATGACTTAGAACAGATGTCCCTCCAATTCGCGTGCTTCGACTTGTACAGATTGAAGTTGCTCATGAACTTTCACCTTCCTCTCTGCCTCCCTGCTGTAGTACCCCGCCTTCGCCTCCCCCGGCAGCTTGTGGAACGTGCAAGCCGCCGCCAGCGCCCCCGCCAGCGCGCTCTCCGGTGTCCCATGGTTCACCACCTGGAAGAACCCGACCTCACGCACCACACCGCCAGGACCCACGCCGCAGCCACCGGTCAGCCCGCCGCGAGGCTCCCGAGGTCAATCACCGGGATCTCGAGCCTGGCGGGCGTGGCCGGCCCGGAGGAGCCGCTGGGCCGGTTGGCGGCAATGTCCTCTGGTGGGCAGACGAAGAAGCGGGGGAGCGTGGCGATGCCAGAGTCGGCAAGGCCCTTGACGCCCGATTTGGAATCGTCGATTGTGCCCCTAGATCAAACATTTATCAAATCCTACAAGAAAATATTATTTTTAACCCCACCCTTCTCCACTAATGCCGCCACCGCCGCCACCCTGACCACCGCCTGCCAAACATGTGGTAATAGTGACAGTCGTGAAGTTGGGAGCGGTGAACAGTATTGACTGGATACAAGTTCAGCAGCTCTCTCTAAGCTGCAATTAATACACATCTGGGACAAAAGAAAACCATAGCTTGGGCTTATGGCCTAATTTTTTATATCCATGCCATTCTGCACAGGAACTAACTTCAAATCAATTCCTCTTCACAACTTTAAATGATCTATTGCAGGAACTCCGTCAAGACCTTTTGAGTACGTGTACTCACAGATGTTTCTCGATAGACTGGAGGGTTCTGTTCCGATAACAACTCCTTAATTGGCCCATATTTTTTGGGAGAGTTCCCTTGCTCAAAATGTGTTCTGAAGAAACAAGCCACAGAGATTCTCGGCCGTACATTCTTTGCCAATACTCTGTGATAGACGCTTTTGAACTTACCATTGGTGATTAGCTGCACAAAAGATAGCCAAATCTATTAGCTAATCAATCTTCTCGTCATGAGAATTTCAAATGCATAGATACAGGTAGTTTACTGAAGACTACACTTTCAAGAACAATACTAATAACATGCAATAACGAGTCACGCTAATGATATATCTTCATCGTTCAAGCCATTAAGAAGATTGCATTAGTACAAGCACCTTTTGTCATGGATTTGAAACCCTACAACTTATCAGGAAATTGAGCTCGGATATACTGATCCAGTAAGTGACAAAATTGCCTGAACATTCCCTACTCCGACAAGCATAAGCAAGTTGTACAATAACAGTATGCCCATATCATTGAAAAGACCAATGTTGAACTCGAAACTTATTTTCAAGCAGGCAACAGAAAAATTCTTTTATCAGAAAAAAGTGAAGAATGGACAGTTTTCTAGCATATCTCACATCAGCATGCTTCCTTCAGCATAAAAACCGACTTTTTGAAGGGAGAGAACATTTTTGGGACTTCCATTCTCCATATCTTTCGGAAGAAATACTTCTAAACCGCTCCACACAAAGCACCAAGTCCTCTTACTCCTACCACAGTTACACGTCAGAAAATTTTATGAAACACGATAAATGCCGTGATTGGCACAAGCAGAGAACTATTCCAGTATTTCTCAAGTGTTTTTGGAAATATCAATCAATCCATATTCAGTTCTTGGTTAACTTAGTCCAAATAAATCTCTTAAATGTGAAGGCCGAAAGATAGCGAGTTATCACAGGTCATCAAATGCAATAAGAAAGGAATTGAGTACGAGGGAGTTGAGTTCTAGTTGCTGAGCAGTCGCCTCATGCTGAAATGTTGGAAGAAGTACATGCAAACAATCAAACATAGGAAGCCCATTAAGCAAAGAACCTTGTCGAACCAGCTTACCTGCAACATGTCGCCCAGGTTCACCACGAGTGCACCATGAATGGGGTCAACATCCACCCAGTGATCTTCATGGAGGACTTGGAGGCCACCAATTTGGTCTTGCAACACCACCGTGAGCAAGGCGCTAATCCGTGTGCTTGCTTAGACTTTGAGTCAAGTCTGGCTCAGGACATGTTGGATAGTAGTGTCCCATGAAGTACAGTCCTTCGGCACAACCCATGTCTTCAAGATGCTTGGGATCCAGTCCCAGAGCTTCTGAGAGCAGTTCGAAGATGGTAAGCCCCAGTCTCCTTAGTTGATTTGAATATTTCCATTATCACGTCTCTGCAAGCAGAGCACCGTGGAAAATTGATCAAACATCTTACATACACGAATAACTCTGTACGTACGAATCGATCATATTGATAGTCGCAATATGGTGCACCGGCATTTTCGCGAACAGGTTACCTGCAAACCTGAGGAAGCTCTTCCGGACCCGACGGGTGTGGCGCCGTCGCACAGCACAGCGAATCCCTCCAATTTGCGACCGGCGCTCCGGAGAAATCGAAGTTGGTGTTACAGATTCACCTTCTTCGACTCGTCCCTGGAATAGAACTCCTTCTTGAACCCGCGCCATCCTGCTCGTGGAACCTCCTCACGCCGTCGAGGATTCCGCTCAGTACGCCATCTCCGATCCCGTGATTCACCACCTGGAAGAAGCCCCAGTCCTCGCATGCCCGGCCGACTCTGCGGATCATCTCCCCGCGCTTGCCGGGATCTTCGTGAACGCCTTCCAAGTCCACGATCGGGATGCCAAAGCTCGCCCCGGCGAGATCGGAGCGGCCCGGCGATCGGGGCCGGCGGTCGACGAAGATGCGAGGGAGAGCTTGGAGACGCCGGCGTCGACGAGGCCTTTCACGCCGGTCCTCGAGGCGTCGAAGGCTTTCAATTCGCTCTCGCCGTCGTAGCTGGGCTCTGCTCTCGACGAAAATATATTCTTAAAAATAATCACTTTAATATTTTTTGAAATGATTAATTAATAAAAAATATTTTTATCATTGAAAACAATTTGTATTCAAATATTTTTCGCGAACGATGAAAATATTTTTGCGATTCTCTCATTTTTATAAGTGATACAGGCAGTTAATTTTATAAAAATGATTTTCAAAGCATTTACTTTTCGTGAAACAAACGCATCTATAAATTAGAAGCCTCATCCTCTCAATTTGACCTCCATCTCTCTCATAAGAATTCGTGCTGCTTAACAAATTCTTGCTTCAAATACATGATTTCTCTCGTCATTTTCGATTTTAAAATTAACCATAAACACCATGTCACCCCTTTTTGGAAAAAAAAAATATGATTTTATGGCTTATGCTAGTGCTCTTGTTAGTATTTGGCTATTAACGTTCAAGGCAACATTGTTACTTACGTTGCATTTTAGTATGAGTATCAATTTTCAAGCGATGAAGAAGGAAAATTGAAAAGGAAAATTTCTTAAACACATTGATTCACGACAGCTTAGTACGACAAAAGTATTTATTATATTGTGAGTCTCGCAAGTCGAAAAGATAGGATAATATTTGAGCCGGAATTCGTATGGGTGTAAGAAGGGTGTGTGCTTGTGAAGAGTGCGAGAAACGGCAAAAGTTAACTCGATGGAATATGAAGTTAAAACAATAATTGCTAAAGGGAAAATTGGAGTTTTCTACCTAACACGTACTTCAAAAGAAATAAAGGGCACCTTTTTTTTTGGTAAAAAAAAGGGTTAATATCACGAAAAATCCTAAACTGGTACACTTGTGACACATTTACCTCAAACTATTTTTTTGACCATAAAAATTTCCAAACTGGTACACCTGTGACAATTTTACCCTGAACTATTTTTTTGACCACCAAAAACCCCAAACTGGTACACCTGTGACAATTTTACCTTGAACTTACCACAAAAAACTCCAAACTGGTACATATGTGACAATTTTACCATGAATTAAAATTTTAATATTATTTTTTATTTTTTTCGAATTTTTATTTATTTTTTATTCTTTTCTTTTTTTCATCTTCAGACCCTGGCCGGTCGCTGGTCCGGCAACCGGCCAGAGGCGGAAGCCGGCGAGGGCCGCCCTCGCCGGCGTCGGGCGATGGCCGTCCTCGCACGCCCGGGGCAAGGGCGACCCTCGCTCGACGCAGCGAGGGCGACCCTCGCCGAGATCGGCAAGGGTCGCCCTCGTCGGATCTCGGCAAGGGCGACTCGCTCGAGTCGGGCGAGGGTCGCCCTTGCCCGGGCGAGAGAGGACGGCCCTCGCCCGACGCAGCGAGGGCGGCCGACGCCGCGGAGGCGGCCCTCGCCCGACGCAGCGAGGGTCGCCCGACGCAGCGAGGTCGCCCTCGCCAGATCCGGCGTCCGGGCGAGGGGCGCTGGCGCCGGCGAGGGCGGCCCTCGCCGATACGGCGAGGGTCGCCCTCGTTGATCCGGCGAGGCGCCCTCCCGCCGGCTTCACGCCGCTGGCCGGTCCGTCTGGCGGCCAGGCGGAGGTTGAAGGTGAAGGAAAAAAAAAGAAAAGAAAAGAAAAGAAAAAATTCAAAAAAATTCAAAAAAATAAAAATAATAATATTAAAAATTAGTTCGGAGTAAAATTGTCACATGTGTACCAGTTTAGGATTTTTTGTGGTATGTTTGGGGTAAAATTGTCACAGGTGTACCAGTTTAGGATTGTTTATGGTCAAAAAAATAGTTTGGGGTAAATGTGTCACAAGTGTACCAGTTTAGGGTTTTTCGTGGTATTAACCCTAAAAAAGAAGGGCACTTTCAATATATATAAGCATCTATTTGACTTTTCCTTTTTCTTTTTTCAATATTTTAATATCTTAAACAAAGAACAAAGTTTGAAAAATTCGCCATGATTAAAAAAAACTTTTTAGCTGAGATTAAATGTTATGTATGATAAGAAAGGTTCCTAATCAACAAAAAAATGTTTACGTATTTAAATTTAAAGTAAACTATAATATCGAGAATACCAATAAATTTATGTTGTAATAGCATAATAAGTAAAATTATTACCAACTCTTTAATTTCATGCTATATAATGACAAAATTAAAAAGAGGCGACTTAATTCCACATGAAAAAGTTAATCAGAACTGTAATTTATTATTAAATTTTGTAACGTAATCTGTTGGAGGTAACGGCTCTATTTCGAAATAAAAAATAATCTTATTAAAAATACGACCGTTGGAAGACCCACGTGACCGTGGGGAGACCAATGTGACCGTTGGGAGACCGTTGTGACCGTTGGGAGCTCCTTCCTCTACAACCCCATCGTCCTTCCTCCGCTCTTCAGACGCTCCTCTTGACCGTTGGGAGACCGTTGTGACCGTTGTGACCGTTGGGAGCTCCTTCCTCTATAAACCCCTCGTCCTTCCTCTGCTCCTCAGACGCTCCTCTCTCTCTCTCTCTCTCTCTCTCTCTCTCTCTCTCTCTCTCTCTCTCTCTCTCTCTCTGCCGTTTGTCCTCTCTCGCATGATGGGTCTCTGCGAAATCCCTCTCCGGAGAAGATCAATCTCTTCTTTCGTTTCCGTCTTCGATAGATTGCTTTCTCTCGGTCTGATCTTGTGAAGCATCTGGTTTGCAGAGAGACTTGGTTCACTTGCGTTGCGGAGATTCCTGAGTGGTTTCGCTTGGCCTCGACCGATCGGCCTTTTCTCCTCTTCGTTTGGGGATGTCTCTGGTTCAGCTCCTCCTCTGAATTTTTATGGGTTTATCCAACGTTGATTTTTTTTTTCCGTTTGATTGTTTTACGAGCTGCTTCTGAATTTTGTTGTTTGATGAATTCGCAGTGGATTCTTTTTACCTTGGAGCGAGCTGCTTGTCCGAGGATGTTGTCTAAGGGCGATGAATGGGGAGAGACAGGTCAGTTTTTTGTTCCATAAAACAGAGCGTTTGGGCTTTTTTGGAGGACTGAGGATCTTGTTTTGCTGTCTTTTCTTGGTAGAGATGATGAACTCGCGTCTTTTGATAACCTTCTGGGTATTTATTGGTTTTGATTGAAATTTGGTCTCCGGCCTTTTATCTTTGGCAGATGATCATGGGTCTAGTTCCAATTCTTTTACATGTTGCGATTTTGCGGGGCTTGAGAAGTGGTGATCTGTTGCGTTATCTTTGCGATTTCGAGTTGATGATCTTTGACAATTGGATAAGCTACCGCTTTTCAAGGCAGCTAATGGTTTGAATGGAGTTTGTGTCTCCAGTCTTGTTATTTTCCGATTGGTGCGAAAACCAATTCTCTTTCTTTCCGAGGTCAGAGTTTGGCCGATGTGTGAACTGTCATGGTTCTTTCCATGCAACGTGTACGCTCACTTCAGATCATTGCTATTGAAAATCTAAAGCCGGGTGTCCTTCCTAGAAATTCTCCCTCCCTTGTGTCCTCATCCTTCAGTCTCGCGCTGCGTCTTTGATTGTGAATGCAGTTCCTCTCTTGTTTGCTCTTTGCTTGACATCCTCTGCCGAGTACTCTTCAGAGGAGACATGGTTCCTGAATCGCGCGCTCTTGATCCTTCTCCTTTTCTTTCTGTTTGTCATATTTTGTGTGTTTTTTAGTTGAGTGAAATTGAATTTAGCGGACCATTTATTTTGGTTTGAGGTTTTCACACATTTGGTGAGCATGGAGTTCAGTCTTCTTTTTGTAAGCTTTTGATTCTTATCATATTTTGATCGGATGACCAACTTCTACGTCATTTCTATTCTATTTTATTGGTGACGACACTTGCTCAAGTGGAAAAGTCGAGCAGGAAAGTTTCTACTTTTCCTTCTGATTTCGTATGATATTGCAATATTTGGATGGTGATATTAATTCGTATACATAATTTATTTTTACACGTCGAGCATATCTGTTGAATCTATTTATATATAACATCTCCATTTGCAACGTGATCCTTGGTCGTTGATGATTTGTCTGCCAGATATCCTAACTTATGGTTCTAAATGCATCTTTTCCTCAACCGCTATACAAGGGGGAATCTCGTTCATTTTCCTTCTAATTAAAATTATCAAACAGTCTCGTTTGAATTGTTATTGCCCTTTAAGGCACGGATTTTGCAGTATCTGGGTGGTCTATTGCGAGAACAGAATTGGTTTAGGTCCTGATTGAATCTGTATGAATGTCTTCAGGTTCATCATTTTTATTCAGGTTCAAGTTTCCCGCTGATTATTTTAATTAATAAAATTGCTCGAATGAAACGTATGGATTTATTCAGGAGTTGACAGGTGCTTGGTCCAGTCATTATCAAGCTAACTTCTCTTTCATTCATGCCTTACATTCTAATCCTTTCTACTGCTTTTTGTTAAAACTTTCAATATTGCTTTCTCCTTACATTTTCATTATCAAGCAGTCTTTATTCATTGTTCCTAAACGTTCTTGTCAATAAGGGTTTCCTTGGCATCCCTATAAACTAGGAAAAGCAGCATCTGTGTTAGTACAGTCACTCACTGTGCAGTACCTTTTACCATTTATCGTGACTGCATAATTAGAATGTCTTTTGGCAGTAGGTGCCTGCTGTCCAAATAAAGAAGCCAATGACTGTGATATGGTGGACTTTACTTGATCAAACCAAATGCTGCCTATGCTTGTCCATCTTGGCTAAGTAAATGTTGTTCACCGCATCCTCTAGTTTGTCCTTTTTGGTAATTATTGCTGCCTCGATGGTGTGATCTCAACGGTGTTGCACGTAAATGACATCAGTAGCATTCTTGAAACGATAGTCATGTCTTTTTAGAGAAGTCAATGTGGATCGCTATTTAATCAATGCATGATTACTTTGTTGGATGAATTTAGAGAAGTGAACTGTGTCTTTTTAGTTTACTTTTTGGTATGTTTTCGATTGTAGATAGCACTGTGTGATCTTTTCTGCTGGTAGAGATTCCTGGCTTGGAACATTGATCTGGCGACTGGACAGATACACTTTGGGTTCTCAGCTGTTTGGCAGAGTGCCTCTGTCACTTTGATCATCTACGAGGTGACGACAGTTTGCAGCCATCAAATGATGGGATTGCATCTACACTTTGCAGTATCCGTTGGATGCTGATCGAATACATTTTATGGTGGCTTGTTTCTTCCCTCGCTCTTTTACAATTTTGCGGAACAAATACTTTACCTGAGATGTGCACATCACGTGTTGCAGGATAAAATTGGTATACAGCTACAGCAATTGCAATTGAAGCCTTGCTCAGAGTTTCAACTATGTGGTGTATGCTGTATGAATCAATCTAACACGACTATCTTCTATAATAAGCTCTCTAGGATCAAATTCTTCAAATATTTTCTTTATCGTCTCTTTCCTGATCTTTTTTGGGTCTTCCTTCGTACACACACTTCATAAAGAAGTTTGTGCTCCAATGGAAGATGGTTCAAATTGTTGCCAATCTTTCATGGGGCTGCCATCTTTGATTTTTTACTAAGAGAATCATACCTGTAGATACTCGTAATGCAATAATTGTCGCAGGGTGACAACTGTGATATATGGTGAACTAACTTGATCAAATTGTTGTCTATGCTTGCTCTGTCCGTGGTTAAATCAAGAATTTTTAATTTTTGACCATCCTTCTAGTTGTCCTATTTTTATATATTATTATTTCATTGGTGCGATCTTGTTTTAAAAGTGCTCCATTGTCCTGGTCTTATCTGGACTGCTGTCTTTACTTTGAAAGTCGTGGATCTACTCGATCGATGGATGGCTACCTTGTTGGATAAATTTGCAGAAACGTGAATTATTTGTCATGTTCAGTGTTTAATGCTACTCGCTTGTTTCAAATCCAAATTTTGCACTTTTGTGATCTTTTCTTTTGTTAGAGATTCTTCACCAAGAACTTTGAAGTCGGCTTGATATCACTCCTACTAGAGGGGATCCCTGAGTCGTTCAGGTAGCACCCACAATGGTCCCTTCTCTGTGCTTCAAGTTTTTTTCAATCTACTCTGTAAGTTGGCGTCACCTATGCAGAATTTTTTCGGGGGTAGTATCTGTAAGAATTTCCTAATGTGTGATTCATTAATTGAAATTAACTGAATTAGTTTGATCTAATAGGTAAGATATATGGGCTCTTAATAAGTCTCTAATATGAGGCTGGCTAGTGTGGGCCGAGTACGGCCCGGCCCGTAATGAGAGGGCCCGTGGTCGAAGACTCTATAAATAGTGCTCAAGTCCCTCCCCTAACCTGATGATGCACAATTTGACTCACATACGGATTTAGAGTTCTTCTCGTGAGTGGCATCTCATTAGGCCAGTGTTCTAACGAAGGGATAGGGGAGAAGCATTTGAGTTCGTGTTCGGAAACCGTCGCAAATTCCGCGTCAAGTTCGATGGATTCCAAACCAGGTACGCGAAACTACAATTTCTCTCCATTATCGTGTTTCGGTTTCTGATTATGGTGATCCTGGGCGTGCCATTTTCGTGGCCTACATTTGGTATCAGAGCCTGCCATAGATTAGAACTGAAACATGCAGATTAGGACCGTTTTCGTTTTGTCCGAGAGGTTTTTGCCCAGTTTCGAAATTTTTTGTCGGATAAAAGTTAAATTTTATTACATATTTGGAATCTACTCGTCGAGACGAGAAGAATGGTGGGAGGCACGTCGCCGGAAGAGGACGGACGCGCCGTCACGCGCCTACACGAGCCATAGGCGCGGCGGCGCGTGATGGACACGCGCGGCCATGCCAAACCGGCTCGTCTTTCCGCCGGCAACCGCATGCCAAACCGGATCCTGACCCGACCCGGTCGTTGACCCGACCCGGATCCTGACCGACCCGACCGTTGACCTGACCCGAAGGTTGACCCGATCGGTCAACCTGTCGGACCGGTCCGTTGACCAGCTGTTCAGACCGGTTTGACTGGCTGAACACGCGCGCACGCGCCGCGCCTTCCGGCGGCGCGTGAGGGAGCGTCCGACGTCAGTTTTGGACGTTCTTGGTACCGTCGCGCTCGTATTGAGATGCTCTACATTGTGGTGTATTTATTTTATATGTTTGAAGCTTTTACAGATGTGAAAATACGTATACAACCCTATATACGCGTATTTTAGGGTATTTTGCGTATTTTCTTGTATTTCTCTTTGGTTTCGGAAATACATATGGTAGCTCACATGTATATCACCACATAAGGACTGTTCCATTCATTCACATAAGGAAATACATATTGTTCCATTCATTGTCTATCAATGAATGGAACAATATAATGAGCATGGCATGTAATTTCAGAGACATACGCCCCTGTCTTTACGTCTAGCATTACATGCATATAGTAAATGTGATACATAAAGCTCATATCCCTGGTATGAGAGATTTTCAAGGATTCAGTTGGGTTGTGACCGCCAAAGTGGCACACTTGACTAGGTTTGAGAAATATCGGTCTCATATTGTGGTGGGATGTCTCCTAATCTATTACGTGATTATACTCCCAAAGGAGGTGATCTTGTATTAGTTCATGGAGGGGTACATGTATAGCATGTGCTTGAGAAATGACTGATCTTAGTGGTTCATACACCCAAAAGTGGTGATTTCACGAAAGATTAGAATAAGTTCTCATGGTCGCTGTCATGTGGAGAGTGTACAACTGCATGTCATATTTTCTGTCCAAAGGTGATTATGTGATGATGTATGTAACTCTTTGGATAAGTACTCACATGATGCTAATTGTATTGTTTGTTTGTTTTCCAGTCACCTTTTCTGTAAACGGCAATTCCATTTCCATTGAGGTCCTTACTGGTTTGAACTTTAAGAAATGGAAAGAGGATTTTCTATTTGGAATGAAGCTGGCGGATGTTCACATTGCTCTTACAAAGGATAAGCCTGCAGATATCATGGCCACCAGTACTGAAGCTGAGAAAATGGACTATGCTGCTTGGGAAAAGAGCAATCGGATTTGCTTATTGACAATGAAGAAATCCATTTAAGAACACTTGAAAAGTGGTACTGCTAAGGAAATGATGGCAGCCTTAGAGGCTAGAAACCGCATTTCATCTAATGCTGAGGTTGGTACACTTCTTCAATATGAAGAATGATGGTACTGCTGGGGTTAGAGATTATGTCCTTAGGATGGTAGACCTAAAGACGAAGCTTCAAGCTCTTAATGTTTCCATTCCTGATGCTTGTTTTGTGCATCAAGCCTTGAACACCCTTCCACCTGATTTTGGGATTATAAAGACAAATTATAATTCCCAAGATGAGACTTGGTCAGTGAATGACTTGATAGCAAGGGTGGTGGCAGAGGAAGAGAAACTTAAGAAGGAAAAATGGCATCTAGCCTTATATGTTTCTGGTTCCCACAAAAAGAAGGATAAGAAGTTCAGAAATCGTACTCATAAAGGTACTCATGACACTACCGGTCAATCTGACAATATGGGTCCAAAGAAAACATC